TGTACAGCTCCGTCTTTTTATAACACGCGATGCAAGATGAATCTTGTCCTCCAGCAATGCTATTAACAAACGAGGCAGATATCGTTCGTCAAACTGAACTATAATACATATTATACAAGTCTTTTTTTGTCATTTATGATACTTTTATTCATATTCGCACACATGCATTCATAGGCATGCACACACCACATACTAATACCTCCATCCGCCTAGTTTTATTAAAAATCATCCCAAAAATTCCAATCATGATCCCAATCCCATCTTCTGCTGTCTACCACTTCTTTCGCCATGTATTTGTTCGTTTCTTTTATTATTTTATGCAATCCAAAACACTCTAACCTGCCGCGGTTCGTATCTCTAGAGCCCGTCTAACTTGTCCGCTTGTCCGGGACAAATGGATTTTTGAAGGACAAGTAAAAGAGAATTTTACTCGCCCCAACGGACAAGTAGACTGATTAGAACATCAATAACAAACAAAAAATAACTAGGGAATCACTAAACCGAGAGAATGATTCTGATTTTATTACATTTATTGCAAGTTGCGATCGATTGTGCATAATAAATGTAGGCCTACTGTATTACTGATGGTTGCGCTGTTGACTCTCGCGCAGAGAAATCTACACACGAGCACACACACACACACACACACAGTTAACAACATACTGCCTATAAAAAATCTAAATGTGGAGTTTTTATATTTTAACATATTAAGCAGCCTCAATTATTTTTCCTGAATACCATCACGATTGAAAAAGTGACATTGATTTCCTACAACAGTTCAATAAACAGTTAAGATTAAGTCACTTACTGTTTATAAGCAATATTGGGTGTTTTTGTTCCATTTCAGCAGCGAATAGTTCCAAAGAAAAGTCACAGCAGAACCACGACGCATCTCACAGGAACTCATCCTGTTTTCATTACTGAATGATTCAGCATTTTGAACGAATCGGTTGAGTCAAAGATTCAATGACCCATTCATAAACATCTGTCTCATTCTTGAATGAATCAACCATTTGAACGAATCGTTTGAATTAATGAATCAATAACTCACTCATTTATACGGCCGCCTGCCGCCACCTATTGGCAGTTTAGTGTTATGTTTATAAGTAGCCTAGTATAATTCTTTCCAATATTTCTTTTTTGCACATTTAAATCAATTTCATAACATTATTTTTATGAAATTGTAATTTTTCAGTGTAAATGACTTAATTTGATCAGCCCTACTTAGGGTAACAGTATGCTTCATCTTTCATTTTAAATTCCTAAATTTGATCAATAAATTCTATTATTTAGAATAATAAGACACTATAGGGCATTTAATAATATTAGGGGAGGGGATGCCCTTAAAGGTGCAGATATTACAATATGCCTTTTTAAATATCAAAGCTGATTGAACACTGATGAGAATATTGCTTCAGAATAAAAAATAAATCAATTTTAAAAATCCGGACAAGCAACTTTTTTACTCAGACAAGTGATTGACAGATTTACTTGTCTGGAGGACAAGCACGTGAAAAGGCTTAAGGGGATAGTTCACTTTGAAATTAATTTTTGATATGTTTTATCTTACCTCAAGGGCATCCAAGATGTAGGTGTCTTTGTTTCCACAGTATTTTCAATTTTGATATTTTTAGGTTTGACCAAAAAATATCAAAATTTAAAATACTGCGGAAACAAAACCAATAATTTCCTACCCATCCCTTGCTGCCACTGGAGAAAAAAAAAATAAAAAAAAAATTCCCTACCGACCCATGACCTCAACTGACAACCAACCGGAACCAAACTTTTTTTTTTTATGCCTGAATATGAATTCAGTCACTGAATATTAAAGGTGCAACATATTTTTTAAGAGCAAACAAACTGGATCAGAGATTTCTGATTCTCCCCGACCTGAAAAGCCTCGGTCTCCATCTGAGAAGCTCTATAAAACACAGATAAATCTACTCATCAACTTGCAGTGTAAGTCTCCTCAGCTTTCACTGTCAATTGCGACGCCCCGCGTTAGCATCGAGTCTGAGGAGGCGGGGAAACAACGATCTGAGATATTTTGAATTTGGGCTGCAGTACTGATGTCCACCACTAGCTGTGAATCTTACAGACTGCACTTTCAAACCGAGCGAAGGGCGACAGTGACTACATCAGTGGACAGAATGGAGAAAGTGTTCATGAACTGCAGGTTCTGAAGCTCTTCAGCTGTGTTGACGTGTGTGTGTGTGTGTGTGTGTGTGTGTGTGTGTGTGTGTGTGGTCGCAGGTCTGTGGTCTCCAGAGCAGAAGTCCGTCTCCAAACACAAAGTGAGCAGTAAGATCACATGTTGTGGGTGAGTAACGACATGCAGACATGACCTTGATGATGTCCTTCACTGGGCCGCACTGCAAATAGACATCGTCTTATTCAGAGAAACGTTTAACAATCCAAAAATCTAGATCTTTTATCTTGTATGAACCTTAAATGTCTTATAGCTAATTATTAATTGTATGATGTGTTATTCATTTAGTTGCTGACACACACAGCGTTTACAGGATGGTAGTAAGTGAATGTGTGTGTGTGTCTGATCTCAGCTGGACGAACGACGGCCAGTACTTGGCTCTGGGAATGATGAACGGTGTCGTGAGCATCAGAAACAAGAGCGGAGAAGAGAAGGTGAAGATCGAGCGTCCGGGCGGCTCGTCGTCGCCCATCTGGTCCATCGCCTGGAACCCGTCCAAGTAAGATCAAGATAACAAGCTAATGAAAACCGGCTAATGATAACCAGCTAATGAAAACCGGCTAATGATAACCAGCTAATGAAAACCGGCTAATGATAACCAGCTAATGAAAACCGGCTAATGATAACCAGCTAATGAAAACCGGCTAATGATAACCAGCTAATGAAAACCGGCTAATGATAACCAGCTAATGAAAACCGGCTAATGATAACCAGCTAATGAAAACCGGCTAATGATAACCAGCTAATGATAACCGGCTAATGATAACCAGCTAATGATAACCAGCTAATGAAAACCGGCTAATGATAACCAGCTTATGATAACCGGCTAATGATAACCAGCTAATGATAACCAGCTAATGATAACCAGCTAATGAAAACCGGCTAATGAAAACCAGCTAATGAAAACCGGCTAATGATAACCAGCTAATGATAACCAGCTAATGAAAACCGGCTAATGAAAACCAGCTAATGAAAACCGGCTAATGATAACCAGCTTATGATAACCGGCTAATGATTACTAGCTAATGATAACCAGCTAATGATAACCAGCTAATGACAACCAGCTAATGACAACCAGCTAATGAAAACCAGCTAATGATAACCAGCTAATGATAACCGGCTAATGAAAACTGGCTAATGAAAACTGGCTAATGAGAACCAGTCAGTGGGCAAAGAGTACTGAAAAAACATACTAAAGTAAAAGTACCATTACATTCCAAAAAATGTAGTTTGAGTAGAGTAAAAAGTACTTGTCCAAAAAACTACTTGAGTAAGAGTAAAAAAGTAGCTTATTTAAAAGTACTCAAGAGTAGTGAGTAGTGAGGTGCGGATTCTACCCCTTATAATAAACACTGTGCACTATAATTTATAAATTTAAAAAAAATGCACATACTGTAATTCACATTATATTTTGTTCTTTGTAAGGAAGATTGAAGAATATCATCCATCTTTTTAAAATGCATCAAATCAGTACACTCATCACCATTTAAATCATATTATTTGGGGGGGAAAGCATTTAAAATTAGGCGAAAAACCACTGGGCATGAGCATGTTATTGTTGCACATAAAATATCAATATTCATAACTGTGCAAAGAATTCAAAAACCTTTAGAAACTCATAATAGTTCAGCATCACACACCAAGAGATGGGTTAAATAAAATAAAAAAATACCCAATTTCTCTCCAAAACGGTACCAAAGTTAGTGTTTTGATAAATGAGAATCACTAATATTATCAGATTACCTCAACTAATGCACTGAAAAAGGCTAAGATAGTGAGCCAACACTAATTACACAATGCTATTAAATATGTTGCAATTTAAACGTAAATGCACATCGTTCTAGAAGGGTGGCATCATCCCTTACATTTTACACGGCTACATTTATTCACATTGCAATGCTGATTTGTAAGGAAAATTGTGCATTAAATAGGGAAGTTATATCCAGGAAACTTTTACAAAAGAAACAAACAAACACACTTTGTCTCTGAAGTCTCGCGAAGCTGTTTTATCAGCAGCATCCAAAAAAAAAAAAAAAAAGTTCACCATAAAAAATGTTTTTGCGCAAGTGCACTTGCCAAATGAAGACGGATCGTATAATGATCAATCAATCGAAAAAAAAACGTTGTTTATTAACGAGCTGTCCTAATTTCTTATTAAGAAATGCAGTTCAAGTTAACGACATGTGCACTGATTCTGAATCTGGCGGCATGACGCGTCTCTCTATAATGTGATTGTGAAGTAAATGGGAGCGGGAATTCACCGCATTATGAACATAAATATCATATTAAGCAGAAATGTACCTTAGCATATTAGAGGAAGACGCTGATATCTGGGTTGAATTGATGCGCGATGAATGGACTTCCACAGCAGTCACGAGTAACAGCGGGAATGCTTAATTTGAATTGATGACAGTCACGAGACCGATGACTCGATCCAATCAGGTTGATGGATAAAAATAAAATTAAAACAAGCATGTAACGAGTAACGACAAACAGAAGGAAAATAGCGGAGAAAAAGTACCGATACATCACTTAAAATGTACTCAAGTAAAAGTAAAATTACACAATTTTAAACTTGCTCAAAAAAGTACAATTTCTGAAAAAAAAACTACTTACCCAGATAGCAATGAGTCGGCGGGCCGCCTTCGTTCCGCGGCCGGCCAGCCTTCAGCGGCCCGTCGGAGGCAAACGCTTTTTTCGAGCGACCTGCCCGCCGCTTATTGCACTATATTTATTTAAATATGTATAGCATGCAGTTTATCAAGACTAATGATTGCTCAAACCAGACAAATTTCCAATTTACATTTTATTTCCACATTTGAAAGTACAGTAACTGTCATTAAACAACATGTCAGATCACTGAAATATAACAGAAAAATACAAACACGCAGCTTTCCAATACATTTTTGGTTAAAAACACTATTTATATATATAGAACACTGTATAACACTTACAATACTTGCTAATAACATAAAGAGGTCAGCTCTGGGATGAAAATAATTACCAGGAAACACAAGTAATGAGGATATTTGGTACCAAAGAAAGTGAAGGACACTAAATAATTTGAGAATATACCATTATAACTGCAATGCTGACCTGTGGCACAAGGACTTACAAGCTATATTTAACAATAGAATAACAGTTAAGCACTGTGACAGAATAAAGTAGAATATTTGGTACCAGGTAATGTACCAAGTATTAGAGGTATGAAATAGTTTTCCAAGCTATTTTTAATAGAATAACAGTTAAGCACACTGATAGGATGAAAGTAGAATTTTTGGTACTAGTTAATGTGCAAAATCAAATATCAGGCATGAAACAGGATTTGCAAACTATAATAGGCTCTATGCACGATCGCTTCCGGGTTTGTCTCAGGACGCCCAGTTACATCCGGTGCGGCGTCAGAAGCCGGTTTTGCATTAGGTGGAGATAGTGGCAAGTTACACTCACTGTTTACAAAAAATTCTTGCGGTTAACGTGAGTGTCAATAACACTGTGAGGAAGTGAAAAGTGAAGGAAAATGAATTTTATTAAAGTTATGCCGCTGTATACTTTGCCTGCAGAATGCGCTTGTGGAAGTAAAGAAGCTGGCTGAGATTCTTTCGGACATACGTCAGCAGGGTTCATAGAGCATGTAGAATCGTTAAGCACTGACGAATGAAATAAGCCAATACTAAAGTCACGGCAAGTCGAATATTTGATACCAGATAATGTGCAGAAATCAAGTATTAGATGTATAATCTAGGATTTACAAGCTATATTTAAATAGAAGAGTTAAGCAGTGTAACAAGCCTTTTTTAGATGTCTTGAAGTTACTGTCTGCAGGATAAAAAAGGGTTTCAGTTGTCAAGTGATGCTGGGGTGTCAGTAGTCAGCCTAGGTTTAAGGGGTCGGCTGAGCGGTGCCTTTTTCCACCTGTACGGTCAGATGCTCCTTTCAGGTGATGTGTAACGTTAACCTGGATCGCCTCATCAGTGGCATCCTGGGTCGCCGGGTTCTTCCGGATGGCTCCTGTAGAAAATAAAGATCTGTCATTCCATTTGAAAGGCATAAAGTCATAGACATCTACTTAAATATATTTAAAAAAAATATCCAACTTACTTTGAACAATGGTCTTCAGGAACATGTCTCTAAAACATGCTTTATCCCCTACACCAGACCAGGTTATATTGATGGAAAGGTGATTAGAGAAGCTACTCTGAAGCATTCGACACACGGTTGTCTTTAGGTCCCTCTCACATTTGATTGTCAAAAAACCAAAGCTGAAAATACAAAAACAAAAAAAAGTGTAACAAATTACATTTATCTGAAGCTTCTCATAAATTTAAAATGTAACAGGGTGTGGATTCAGACTGTAGAATATGCAGTGTACAATCTTAATTTTACTTTTTAGAAAGGAAAAAAGAACCTTTTTTTTTTTTTACTATGGCATTATAAACGAAATCAGAACACTTACAAATTGTTCCTGGAGCTCTTTATCCTGCCTCATACTGTTGTCTGCCTTCCTGGGTGTCTAGGGGGAGTAACAGATCCCCTGGCAGGGATAACTCTCCAACAGACACATTAGCACTCAAAATGTTGCAGCGTAGGGTCAATTTTGTTGTCCATGCTACGCACAACATCACCAAACTCTCCAAGACGTCGCAGCATTGGGGTCTGACCTGCACCTACAGGGCTTCCCAGAATAAAAGAATAAAGTAGTCAGTCCGGGTCCCTCAACTACTAAACTATGACAGTTATATCTAGGTCTACTACATGTACAGATGGGCCCCGTTGGGAATTAAACCAACAACCAACGCTTAAGTTGTACGTGATTGCCCAGTGTGAGCAAACGTCTTCAACATTATCCCATATTGCTTCACCTGCTCTTGAAGTGAGCCACTGTCATCTGACGCTTCAAAATGAAAGGCATATGGTAATTCTGGACCTACATCACACACAAAAAAGTTAAATTTAAGAAAGAGTGCATATTCTCAACTTGTCAATCAAACATGTCTGACCAACAGAGAACCACCCGCCCACTGCGGAACGTTTGTGTCAAAATGATTCAATCAACAAAAAAAATTGAACTTCAACTCTTTTTGCACTTCAAAAAAAAAAAAAGGATTCAATCAAAACAATTTGAAATTCTACATTTTTTTCACTTCAAATAAAAAAATTTTCTTCAATTTTTTTTTTTTTTGCTTTTGAACAGTTTTTTCTTTGATTGAAAATTTTTTTTTTTTTTGATTGAAACAACTTTTTTGGAATTGAATGATTAAGACACAAATGTCCTACCCATGTATGGCCCAAACACAAAAAAGATTACTTCAATCAAAGAGAACATTTTCAATTAAAACAAAAGGTGTTCAAATGCAATTTGTGGAGTCTCAAATATTTTATTTGCATTCAAAAATGATTTTCTATATTTGAAAATGTTTATCTTTTCATTGAAGTGACTTTTGTATTGATTCTGTTGTTTGTTTGTTTGAAGCAACTTCTTTTTTGATTGAATGATAAAGACACAAATGTCCTACCCATTATATGGTCCAATCAAAAACAATGTTACTTTAATTAAAAAGGTTGCTTTAAACAAAAAAAAAAATGGACTTCTATCAAAGAAAACATTTTCAATCAAAGAAAAGCAGTGTTCAAATGTATTTTTTTTAGTCTCAAATATATTTTTGGATTCAAATACATTTTTTCTTTGATTGAAAAGTTTTTTTTTCATTGAAGTGAAGGTTTTTTTAATTGAAAATATTTTTTTTGATTGAATAATAAAGACACAAATCTACCTTCATAAACTAGCAGCATACTTGTTCGGACAAACAAAATAATTTACACAACCTATACACATTATAATATATTATTATACAAGTTATGTAAAGCTTTGGCTAACTACTGTAAGAAGCTAATTATTACATTTCTACATGTAACGTTACTAGCAGCATTGCTTAACCTCAGTGTGTCCTAACAAAGGCAAAACAGCATGTGTTAGCTAAAACGTGCTAACGTTAGCCACTCTAGCAACAGGACTAGCAGTTAGGGTTGCAAACCGTTCCGTATAATACGGAATCGTTCCGTATTTGTCACATAAAAGTCTTGTTCCGTATTGAACTGATACGGAACGCACTTTGTTCCGTATTTTTGAGAATCAGTTCAGTGCAAATCCATGACAGACACATCTTCTAATATATCTCAGACAGACTATGAATGAAGACCTCACCAGTTGAGCCAGTCCACTCGTGATCGACTAGTTTTACCGCAAATTAGTTAAAATATCCTCTAATCTAGAGCGATCTTGCCTGCGAGCTTGAGCTTCTAACGGACGCAAAACCAGGACTGGAGTCAGACCACATTACTCTCTGCACTCTAAGCCTTCTGTTATCACTCCGATTTCGTCCACTACGGGTTTTCCAGTCTCACTCAGACAGAAAGATAATCTTATGTTTTACTGACTGCTCCCCCGCAAGATTTTTTTTTTTTTTTTTTTTTTTTACACATTTTTAGGTTAAATGCATCAGATCATATCAAAATTAAGAGCTTCAACCCATGAACTGCTCGTTAAACAAAGATAAAGCATTGATTTGTACTAGGACAATAAAGAGGGCTCAAACATCTTTTTAGTTGTGAGTCTCAGTCTACATTACATAATAAATGGTGTTTTCGGATGCCAAACAATTATTATTATAATGTAATAATGATTTATATAATTATTTATTCCTATGACGTAAAATCCATATAGCCTATAGGCTACTATATAAATGAAAGGAATATTTCAAAAGTATATTTTAATCAACATTACACTACAGTATAATATAGGAAAATTAAAATACTTTTGTCCTATTTCTACACTTACAAGAAATAAACCCTTGAGATTTTATTTTAGGAGAAAACAGATGGCCATGCTGATCGGGTTCATTGTTGGCAAAATGATCATGACAGCCTTCATATATCTATAATATGTGGTACAGTCATTGATTAGGCATACTTTGCTATTCTATAAATTAATATAGGCTTAATAAGTGATTATAATATGCTATATGAATTCCAAGGGTCATTACCGAATCCCCCCGTTCCTTATTTCGAAATCAGAAAGTTGGCAGCCCTACTAGCAGCATACTGCAAGAACAAAGATGACTAACTTAGCATATTTTAAAAAGACAAAATAAAAACAATGGAAACATAATACTGCGTTACACAAAAAGGAAACATATACTTACTTAAACGACTGTCGATGACTTTGCTAGCTAGCAAACTGTGGGCTGTGCTAGTAGTAACTTCGGCAATCTTCTTCTTCTTCTCTTGATTATTGTCGGATCCGTGCATACCGCCACCTACTGTACACGAGTTTGTAACTTCATGCCATGTTCTAACCTATGGTTCTAACTTCTAAGTCTAACCATAGACCGTACGTAGACAGTAAAAGAGAGACCGTAAAAAAAAAGTTCTAACTGCGGCAAACTGATAGTCATATTGTTAGGGGCTCAGTGGCTCCAGTGTGTCATCGAGCCCCCGTTTTAACCCCACCAAAAAAAAAATATCCATGAACACAGCAAAACTGTCAATTCAGTACTTCACAGTTCACTAATGTGTTTTAGCTATACATTTGCTATTCACAAAATAGTGAATTAACATTCACAATCTAAATGTTTATGACGTTATGATAAATGTTGGAGGGGGTTTGGAATTATATAAGTATTGCTTCATCCACCTCCTTTTCAAACCATGCACTTTTGTTTATGTAGCCTGTAATGTTGATTTGTGAGAACGAGAATGCGGGTTTGAAATAAACATCATCATCAATGTTTATATTTTTTAAATTGCCTTTAGAATAAATTATATTAAAAAATGGTTTATTGGTGTGTCAAATGTGCATCAATCAAAGAAATGTAAACAATTTTTACCAGCATAAAATAATTAAATATATTTTACATAGCCTGTATTACTAGCCTATTTAAGTAATTTAAATGTCATTTCCTAAACCTTATAATGGAATCAAGAGTCAAGAATCTGTTATAGCCTAAACCCTTGGAGCAAAACAGCCATGGCTGGTCGATTTTGAGTGTTGAAATCCTTGTATTTCAAAGCGGCTTGCCGCCAGCCGGCCGCGGTCCATGAGGCGGAGGCAACCGCCAATGATAAACAGCTAATGATAACCAGCTAATGACAACCAGCTAATGAAAACCGGCTAATGATAACCGACTAATAAAAAACAGCTAATGAAAACCGGCTAATGATAACCAGCTAATGATAACCAGCCAATGAAAACCGGCTAATGAAAACCGGCTAATAATAACCAGCTAATGATAACCAGCCAATGAAAACCGGCTAATGATAACCGGCTAATGATAACCGACTAATAAAAAACAGCTAATGAAAACCGGCTAATGATAACCAGCTAATAATAACCAGCTAATAAAAACCGGCTAATGATAACCAGCTAATAATAACCAGCTAATGATAACCAGCCAATGAAAACCGGCTAATGATAACCAGCTAATGATAACCAGCCAATGAAAACCAGCTAATGATAACCAGCTAATAATAACCAGCTAATGAAAACCGGCTAATGATAACCAGCTAATAATAACCAGCTAATGATAACCAGCCAATGAAAACCGGCTAATGATAACCAGCTAATAATAACCAGCTAATGAAAACCGGCTAATGATAACCAGCTAATAATAACCAGCTAATGATAACCAGCCAATGAAAACCGGCTAATGGAAACCAGCTAATGATAACCAGCTAATGATAACCAGCCAATGAAAACCAGCTAATGATAACCGGCTAATGAAAACCGGCTAATGATAACCAGCTAATGATAACCAGCTAATGATAACCAGCCAATGAAAACCAGCTAATGATAACCAGCCAATGAAAACCGGCTAATGGAAACCAGCTAATGATAACCAGCTAATGAAAACCGGCTAATGATAACCAGCTAATGAAAACCGGCTAATGATAACCAGCTAATAATAACCAGCTAATGAAAACCGGCTAATGATAACCAGCTAATGATAACCAGCTAATGAAAACCAGCTAATGATAACCAGCTAATGATAACCAGCTAATGAAAACCGGCTAATGATAACCAGCTAATGATAACCAGCTAATGATAACCAGCTAATGAAAACCGGCTAATGATAACCAGCTAATGATAACCAGCTAATGAAAACCAGCTAATGATAACCAGCTAATGATAACCAGCTAATGAAAACCGGCTAATGATAACCAGCTAATGATAACCAGCTAATGATAACCAGCTAATGAAAACCGGCTAATGATAACCAGCTAATGATAACCAGCTAATGAAAACCGGCTAATGATAACCAGCTAATGATAACCGGCTAATGAAAACAATTCAACAAATTTTCACACATCAAAAAATAAACACAACCTCACGAAACAACACTGTTTCCGAAACTTTTATTTTACAGTGTTACATAATGTGACCTGTAGTAATAACTATAAATTATGCATAATTACATGCAATTTTAATCCCTGTTCCATAACAAAGCAACCGATTTATAGGAAATGATCGTAGTAAACATCTCAAACCTTTCAGAGAAGAGTAGATGCATTTAACCAGACACACACATCGTGGCTTGTGCTGATGTGTGTGTGAAACTGAGAGCAGGAGCCGATGCATTGTGTGTGATGAGACACCAGGGGGAGCCACTGCAACATCTCCCTGAATCACAGACGGGTTGACACGTACAGTACAGTATGCATCACGTGTGTGTGTGTGTGTGTTTCAGGGATGAACACAACGATATCTTGGCAGTGGCTGACTGGGGACAGAAGCTGTCGTTCTACCAGCTCAGTGGGAAACAGGTGTGTGTTACTCTGTCACACTGGACACACACACTCTAGGAGAGGGTCAGTGAGGGTTCTGGGGAGCTGAGGTTTGCATACAGGACACATCATCATTAGTGCGCTTCTACTGACACACAAAACATTGAAACCTGGTAACTCTGTTCGCTCTCTGAGATCATGTCTAAAATAAGCCAATCAGATTATGGCGTATGAAGAGGATGTTATTATAATATCCCCAGGCCTTATTCTGCACGTTCACACACACACACACACACACACACTAGCGACATTGGGTTGGGCGACGTCAACAGAGCCCAGTTGTAACGCACTGGAGAAGATCCAGCTGAGCCTGAAACTGCTCTGAGGTCAGCACTATTGAGCAGAACATGTGAGCGCTGTCTTATAAACACTGACTCAGGAACTGTGGTCACTTGAGGAAGAGTTCATCATGATGATGAGATGATCAGTGTGACTCCACAACAACTACACAAACGTCTCCGCTAACATTCAGAAGCTCTCCCTGAGTCTCTCCGGAAGGCGGAGCTAAAGCTGCTGTTACTCCTGATCCTGGATCAGTCAGATCCGCCTGTGCTGTTACTGCTGGAGTCTCTGAAGCCCCGCCCTCTTCTGGACGGAGGCGGAGCTAAAGCTACTGTTACTCCTGATCCTGGATCAGTCAGATCCGCCTGTGCTGTTACTGCTGGAGTCTCTGAAGCCCCGCCCTCTTCTGGACGGAGGCGGAGCTGTACATGGAGTCGGCTCTAGTACGTTGAAGTCGTGCAGAAATATGCAGTTTTCCATACGATCTCCATAAACAGGTTTAAAAGGAGAGATCATGTGGAGCCGAACATCAGCGTCCTGGAAAACATCGTGATCTTCACAGCTTCGCACATGTCCTGCCCCAGGTGCTCATGGGAAGTGTAGTGATTAAGGGAAAGTATGCAGCGCTCGTTAAGCGACTGTAAAGCTGTGGCCTGCAGTGCTGTCTGAACACACACTTCATTACAGCACTCGTTAAACACACACACACACACACACTTCATTACAGCACTCGTTAACACACACACACACACACACACTTCATTACTGTGCTGTTCTCAGAGCTCGTTAAACAGTTTACAGGGGAAAGAGTCTCGCTGATGACGGGATTCAAACATCTGAGCTTCAATACACACACACACACACACACACACACACTCACTGCAATGCATTTTTCTACATGCTCTTCTGACCCTCAGGCATTAGTCATTGCTTTACTGTTTGTGCTGTGTGTCAGATAGGGAAGGACCGGCCGCTGACCTTTGACCCCTGCTGCGTGAGCTTCTTCTCGAAGGGCGAGTACCTGGTGATGAGCGGCTCGGACCGGCGGGCGTCGCTCTACACCCGCGACGGGGTTCGGCTCGGCACCGTGGGGGAGCAGCAGTCCTGGGTCTGGACCTGCCGCGTCAAGCCCGACTCCAACTACGTGGTGCGATGTCCATTAGCGGCGGGAACGTGTCCGCGTTAGGGATTCTCACTATCTTCGTTACTGTAGGATGGAGTATTTCCTTTATACAAAGTGTAAATAATATGAATCGATGTAAATTCACTGTAGCACAATCAGCACATTACAGTTTAAACACTATAACTTACTGTATAAAAT